ATTGTATATTTAAATAGGATTCATTGGTCTCAATATACCTTACTATGGTAACAACATGGATCTAAGTTGTCTTGGGATCTATAATAGTCAACCTTAGTCAAAATGTCTCACTAGTTAACTTTGGTATCATATCAGGCTAGGTTATGGAGTGGGCAAATAATATTATTTTATCCTGTATTATCATCTGTTCATAATTCGTTATAATTTAATAATAAATAGTAACCTTTTGTTAGCTTAATTGCTTTACCATTAAAATGGCAATTACCTTAATTTAATTTTACCGTATATCGCTTACTCACTTCGTGTTTACCACCTTTAAAAAGGTGCTTTATAATCACTTCTGTTCTTGTTTCTTAACTTCTAACGGACGGCGAACACCCATGCTTCTGTTTGCATCAAGATTGGTCCGTGGTGGTACGTATATTTATCCAAATTATAAATTTACCTAACACTTTACGGTTCTTCTTATAATTTTTGATTTAAATCATACAGTTTGTCAGTTTTTAAGTAATATTATATCTGATAAATCTTTTACAAAATAATTTTGCTTAACGACAAAACAACACATTTTCAATTCATGTAATTTTCCAACAAACATCCACAGGGTGTATGTTTTGGGTAGGTACAATAACATAGCAATAAATAGACATAATAAATATAGAAAAATACATTGTTACTACCAGAGTAAATGTGAAGAAATGAGTAAACCTGCATATAGTTTAATATAATGTTTTATTTAATTAATCTAAATAACAATTATTTCTGTTATTACAGATCTTACTAAAAGTGGATAAACTAATCGTGTCTAAACCTTCAAGCATTCACCACTACAAACAGGCGCATGGTTGCATGAACTCTCCATCTGCGATGTTGGATCAGTACTCATGCCACACACCACATTCTCTCCATATTTTTCAACTGAAAAATAATTATATATATGAAGTTGAAATGATATAATATATATTGTTATGCATAACAGGTATTTATTAATATTATTTATTTATTAATGTGAAATTGAATCGAGATATTGGCTTATAGCTATGTTTATTACTTGCTCCTGTATTATGGCAAGTGTTCTTCAAATGATAATTGTAGTTATTATTATTCATCAATAATATTTGTACAATACTTACCATTCTTGTACCAGACTAAGCAAGTGGTATAATATTTTTAAAAATTATTAATTACAAACACAGAGAAAATATGCAATTTTCAAATGATTAGAGCAATTTAGTCTATCAGTCTAACACTCATTAATTATAGTAAATATATGCTTTTTAAATATTAAATACATCAATTTTAACAATGGTCATGTGAATATTATTATAAACTTATACTTAAACTTGTTATGCAGGTGTGAGTATTGTACAAGTATTATTGATAATTAATAATACATAATATCATTTGAAAAGAACACTTTATGCCTAATAAATATATGTAACATAACATAAAGCCAATTCTATTCAATTCTGTGGCATTAATACAAATAAATAATATTAATAAATACCTGTTAATATAATATATGAATACTATAATACTTTCAACTTATTATAATATTTTGGTTAACAGCAGAAATTGCTGGTGTGTAGGGCATGCATGGTACTGGATCCAACATAATTGAGACCATGCATAACTAGTTTATATTGGTGAATGTCTTTGAAGTTTGAACAGATTAGTTTGTCCATTTGCGAATCTGTAAAACAGAATACTATTTTAGATTAATTAAATAAACATTATATTAAACTATATTAGTGTTTCATTTCTTCATGTTACCTCTAGTATTAGTATCAATGTATTTTTCTATTATTTATTATGTCTATTTATTATAAATTATTGTACTACCTAAACATAAATTGTGGATATTACTTGTTGAATACAAATTGAAAATGTGTTGTTTCATCTTTTAACAAAATTATATTTTGTAAAATATGTAGATATAATATTAATTTAAAAACTGACAAAAATTCAGCATTTTAAACTAAAGAGAACAGGTTAGTAGAATTATAATTTGGATAAACTAGTACTACCACAGACTAATCTGATAAACAAACTGGTGTTGCGTCAGTGTTAACAGTTAGAGCGGGATTAACTTTGGGTAGTGTTTAATAGGTGCTTATTACAATGGTAAAATTAAATTCAAGGTAATTTAATATTTTAATGGTAAAGAATTAGCTAATTAAAGCAGTTACTATTTATTATTAAATTATAAATTTTAAATTTATGAAGGATGATAATAATATGGATAAAATACATTATTATTTGCCCACTCATATGCTTTGATACGGATAACTAGTGAGACATTTTGATCAAGGGTTGACTTATAGATCCCAGACAACTAGATCCACGTTGTTACCATAGGTATGGTTGAGATCTCAATACTCTATTGTTCATACACCGTAAAAGAATATTTATCAGCTAACGGACGTTTTATCAACATCTCACTATTCAAATACGTAATACGTATATACAAAATATAATACAAATATCGACTTTAAACACTTTAACATAACATTTACGACCACACGTCTCGACTTGCAACTGCTTAATTCAGACTTACTGCTACAGAATGCAGTACATTACTGTCGACGTATAAGTTGAAAACCTTTGTATTAGTTGGCGTGACAAACATTCAATCGAGCTCCGAGTTCTTAGAAATACAAATTTTGTATTTCAATTCGAGTAATGGCACGGCATAAGAGTTCATTAACCTTCTGAGCAATTCGTCATTATTATTATTTACTACATAACCTAACATTATGTCGTGCAAATTACATATTCTCGTCAAGTATTGCATGTGAGTTATACTAAAACGATTACATTAGATAAAATATCAAATCGTAATTAGATTTATTCTAGAGTTAAAAGTGATCGAGATCTCAACATCATTGAAAGAGCATAAGATTTGTTTGGTGAACTTATACCACAAGATGAGTTGATTGTAATGAAAACTAAAATAATACAAACACCAGTATCAAAGAAAACAAAGATAAAATAGTACCAGTAATTAGCAAAGCGTATTTATTCCTACCCAAAATTCATGAGTTAATGGAGGACGACAGACTCTTTAATGGGCATTAACAAAAGTTCAAACGTTTCAGTTGTAACAACAATGATGTTGATGTCAGTGATTTCAGATTAAAGATAGCCTATAAAGTATAAGGAATGAGTCTAAAACAGTTCAATGTAATATAAGATACATTAAGTATTTATTGTACTATAATATATAATATCTTATGTTAAAAATTTTATGCCTAAGTTAATTACTTTGGTTAACAGTTCATCTGAATCATAATCAATTATAAACATTTATAATCTGAACAAAGTAAGAAATGTATGTACGTTTTGTTTCTTCCTTTATGTCTCATAATTAACTTTTGGTGTATTCTATCAATAAACCTAGACTAGCTTCAAATAATTATTCATTTTCTCTGTTTTATATAATATGTGAAAAATCACAACAAAATATATCTCAATTTCAATGTATGAGTTTTCTTAATCTGAATTTGAAAGTTTACCAATTATTTATGAATTACAAAAAATAGGATTCAAAAATGTTATTGTTTGGAGTTATATAGTTTTGAAAAATGTTCCTGTTATTTTATATTTAAATATTAAATTTTCATATATTGTTTATACCTCTAGGGTTATACTAAAAATTGTAACTATATTTTTAATCCAGCTGTGATTTGAGTTGTTACAAGATTAGATCAAAGTGATTCAGTATTACTCAATGTCTCATTGATTTAGGTGCCAAAGTAAAAACATTCAATCAAATAATTGCATGATCCAGTATAATATTGTTGTCATGGTCGTTGGGTTGCCGGCGGTGTTTGGTGGTGTATAATGAAAATCGGTAATCCGCTAATCGGTGGATTGGATGCGGTGGGGTCAATGATGAGGTCAGTTGCCTCCCGTTGATGGTGAAACGCAACGTGACAGGTAATTCCGGTGGTGATTCAGTGTGTTGGTGATGCATGATATCTTTGCTGTCTGTTGGTTGATTTGTTTGTATTAGTGCTGAATAATGAGCAAAGTTTGGATGATGACATTGGATGGTGGTGATGCAGACGTATTAATGAATGCAGTAATAAGTAGTCTGATATTATGAGGACAGAAAATACGATCGTTGAAGACGGTAATGATATATCACTGAGAACTTTAAAATCTGCTGATATTAACAAAATTAAATATATTATTAACCAGTTTATAATAACAACCATAATAATAATAATAATAATATAATAATAATAACATAATAATAATAATAATAATAATAATAATAATAATAATAATAATAAGTGAAAATGGAAGATATATCTCATAATATCATATCTTTCTTTCTCTCATTGTAGCTTTTTGTTCGCCCGGACATACGTTTTACATAGTTTTACCTCGTTACCTCTTTTACCTCTTTTGTACCACCTGCCAGGTTGCCGTTTTGCCGCCACCGGTTTTCCTGCCTCGCGGACGGTTCTGGACGACGTGCGGATGCGGACGACGTTGCGGATCGGCGCGACGACGGATGAACAAACGTCGCCTGGTTCGTTCGCGCGGCGGGACGGTTCGGTTCAGGACGGTGGCTGGATGTTTTGTGCGCGCCGCGGTGCCTGCGGCTGCGGTGACATTTTCCTGGGCGGACGGACGCCTGCGGGCGGACGCCGCGCGGACGCCGCGGGC